GGAATCAACCTCGTTAGACATATGAAATCCATGGTTGCAGCATTGTCACTGGTTATTACCTCTTTCCGCGCTTATGGTTTCCATGGCTTCAGCTGGCGCCACCCCCGCAACCGACTGGTGATGTTCAAAACATTCATCCTATCCACGGCTACATATGGGCTGAACATTATTGCCTGGGCTCCGCCTATATGGAAGGATGCGTTGGACCCCCTATTCGAACGCTTTAACTCAGCACTCATCCAAGCAGCAGCCATCATCACGAAACATCAAACAAACTTAATTCATTTTTGCTGCCTGCTCCCCGCGCGACCATTCGCAAACTACATCGGAGGTTGCCTGGACTCAATGACCAGCACAAATCCACTTGACGACATCAGGAAGAAATTAACAAACCATTGGTCCAACAAGGAGATCGCGGCAATGGCCCGATGTAAAATCGGGATGTAAAATCAGGATGTAAAATCAGGATGTAAAATCAGGATGTAAAATTAGGATGTAAAATCAGGATGTAAAATCAGGACGTAAAATCAGGACGTAAAAATTAAATCCTGTTGCTTGCACCCGAAATAAATAGGAACAGAAAATGAATAAATTAGGGTTGTATCCCGAAAATAGGGGGGTTATGTGGGACTCAAAATTGATTCCGCAAAAAAAAAAAGATGTAAAGAATAAAAAATAAGGCGATTTTACACTTGGTCAATTTTTAAGGTAATTTGGTGTTTGAACCGGAATTATGAGAAATAATGTAAATAAATCAGTAACTTTCCAAGGCTGACATATCCGTCGTTAAAGCGTAATTTTGCCCAATCTGTGATCTTTATTTTCTTATTAACAAGAATCAGATCCATGATTTTGTCCGCAAAGTCAGGTATTAATGCCTTGACTGTGTCTGACGGGGGCTTATATGGATTCAGACAGTTATCGTCTGATTGATCCTTTAATGGATATATGTTAGTTGGTAGACCAGTTACGGTTATACCTAGAGTGAGCAAATCACTCATTCCGACTATAATGTCGTACTTCTCTATTAGGAACCCGCTATTTTTACATCCCAACACTCGTTCATTTGTTTGCCCCTTGCAAGCATTGACTGTGTACAGGATTCTTTGCATTGCATGTTGAAACAGGTCTGTGAAAAAACTGGTAGACGACTACAATGGATTTCTGCCGAGGAAGAAATGAAATTGCATGAATCTCTCATTATAAAAAATTGTTTCGGTCAGGACATCTCTCTCATACTCTTAAGCGGTGAATGTTACATACATCTTCGTAGAGAAATATTTCGTAAATATACTTCAATTACCTTCGATAACGATGAAGACGGCTACCGTTGGATAATGGAACCTCAGAAGCCACTTCCTGCCTCCGCTGGCTTCAAGAAGACTTGGATATCATATTCGAACAAATCACAGAAGAGAGCGATACTTCCATGTACTAACCTGCATATATACAAAATGACCTTTCTTCCATGTACAAACCTGCATATATATTATGGTTTATAA